ATATATGATGTTCTCATATGGAATTACATTTATCAGATACCCCAAACATTAATTTTGTTTACCATTACTTCAAAAATATGATAGTTATCAACTTGCTGATAAGTTGGTGTACAATGTATTAATTAAAAATTACAGGGGTAGGGAGGTAGCTTGGTACCTAGCAGTCACAAGGCCCTGGGTTCAATCCAAACCATTGCAAAATGAATAAACAAAAAACAAAACCCATAGAGTATTACTCCATAAAATAATAAATTGCATGACTAGTATTAAGTTAATGTATTTCTATTGTAATCCCATATATTTTATATTTAAAAACACCAATCTGAGAAGGATTTGATGGGCCTCATCAGACAACCAAAAGTTCCCCACAAAAGATGGAGAGTTGTATTATCCAATATCACAGCTACCATATGAGTGCCCTGTGGTCCCAAGTGTCATATATATTTAACTGTAAATGATTAAAATTAATTTACAATTCCAGCTCTGTAGAGGCACTAATGTCATGCTTCAAGTGCTGAAGAGCATGTGGTTAATGGCTGCCATGGCAGACAGAGGACAGCCATACAGAAGGTGTTGAGTACTTAGAAAGCTCTGCTGGATAGGGCTGCTCTAGGATCCTCACATGATTTGGCTTTTCACCACCACTCCTATCCACACACCCCATCTCCAATATCATGGACCACATAGTAAAACAGTAATATTAGGCCTGAAATGGGAGCAAAGAGACTTTCTGTCCAGAGTCTTACATATAAACTTTTGATGCAGTTGAGGATCAGTCTCTCTAACCCTTATTGCACAGAGTTGAGTGTGCCAGGCAGTGTAGCAAGTTTGAAGCTCCTTGACTTATCATGGGATGATAACCCAATGAACTCTCCATAAGTTGAAAATATCATAGGTAGAAACATCTTTTAGGTTTTCTACCTTCAAAAATGTATCATAAGCTATTAAACACCTAAGTTCAAGTCAGTGGAGCATCACCTTGGGTTTCTTGGTGGCTGGGATGCAGCTGGCTGACACCACCCCTTGCCCTTCATCACTAGACTATTATGGAACACACTGCTACCCCAGCACAAGAACAAAACTCAATATTGGTGATAGGCTTTCTACTGAGAGGGTGCTGCTCTCGGAATACCTTAAAGTTGAAAGGTGTAAGTTGAGGAATCAGAAACTGTTAGTATCAATTTTACATCATTCTCAGTTTTCTGTCTTGATCAAGAGGAAACAACCAAGAATAACTAAGGGTGGGTGGAGAAATTCAGAATGGAACAAGTAGCTTGAGAGATCTTCCAGCACATAATCCCTGGGCTTATGTGGAAAACTATGGCCATACAGTGTACATTATAGGTTCCTTGACAGTTGAGCCTGGAAAGAAGGTCTATTAGATTCCAGAAAGTTTAGAGTACCAGCAAGGACTCAAGATGGGCTTGAGTCATCAAGGAAGACAGTTAGCCCTATCTAAGCTGGGAGAGAACAGACCATAGTGGTCCAGAGAGACAACTCAGCAGTGAGCTTCCTCCATCCAGTCTGAGCTACCAGTTCGGCTACTCCACAAATACCAGAAGAGTCATATCTATGGGCCAGGACAATTCAAGGGACCTCTCTCTCTCGGTGACCCAAGTTCTTGAGCCTCCCCCATAGCTAGACCCCGTCTTATAGAATAACAGGAAAGAGTCCTGATGCCTGGAAAAATTGACTCACCCACAAAGACAGAACTTACTGGAATAACCCAAGTACAAGTACACCAGCTGGACCAAACTTTAGTCCATTGGCACCTCTGTTAGTCATCAATGTGGGCGTTGGGGGACATTTGAAGACTGTGGGTCAGTTATAGGAAGTTCTACTGTTACCATTTTATTTATAAATACTTGAGCTGGTGTGAGTAAGCCTGAGACTACTTCCTTCTAAATCCTGCAGACCCTTGATTGGTCAAAACATGGCCAATCAAGCCTTTAGTCCCTGCACTTAGGTAGAGGCCAGCGGATCTACACAGTGAGTTCAAGGCCAGCCAGGAATACAACAGTGGGACAGTTTGCAAACAAAACAAACATGGCTGACGGCATATTCTGATACATGATGGGGGCAGTTTTTATAACTTTTCAGCTAAAGGGAACAGGGATTAGTTAACTACTGGACCAGTGATCCAAGGTCCCCATGCCCTATGTGCCTTCTTTTATTCCTATGCCAAGGAAGCCCAGGGGCCCTGGTTTTCCAATCCCCACCACTGCCCTTGGTCAGCCTTGCATTTCAGGGGCACTCTATCTATTTGGTTCTGGACACTGGTGAAGTCAGAATCCTAGTCTCCAAACAAGAGATAACAAAGAACTTTGTCTACAGGTGCTGAGGCACAAGTGTACACCCATTTAAGACCCCCCCTCGTCCTTGCTAGTGTGTAAGAAATGTGTAAGAAAGGAGATTGAAGGAAAGGGATGGCTTGGAGACCAAGGTCAGCAGGAGGGCAGAGCTCGATAGTTGACAGCTTGGAAAATCTAGGAAAGTTGAATGTTTCAGATGAGTTCCTTTTCCAAGTGTAACACCACTGGTTCTGTTTCCATGTCTAACTCATTAGAGCATGGAGACTATATTTAATCAGCTAACTGATTTAAGTGTGTTTGTGTGCATATTTCCCTATGTTCTGCCTGTACAAGGTTAAAACTCTCCATCCCATTCACAGTCACCAGGAACCTCAGATGACCTTAATTTGAGTATGGTCTTCCCCCTCTGTAACTGATGCTGAACTTTGATTGACATTGTGGTGGTGCTGGGATGTTGGACCTTAAGTGATGACTGGGTTGTGAAGGAGAATGTATGCCTTTCTGAAGCATGTCTCATGAGACAGGAGTAGTTATCATGGTAGCAGGCTGTAGATTGAGGTTGTCCCTGTGTTTTGACTCTTCTGCATGTACTTGCCATTTCTGCTCCTACCATGTTACAAGGCCCTTGCCAGAGAGGCCATCATGCTTTTGAACTTCCCAGCCACCCAAACTGTGAACCAAACATTCTTTCCTTTTAAACTTACCCAGAGCTGGATAGTTTGTTATAGCCACAGAAAACAGACTAATACAAGGGGTTTTGCAGATTTCATTAGTTAAGAGGCAGTTATATGAGCTCATAGTCCCTAAGTATTATTAAGATCCTTAAGATAAGAGGTGACCACACAACTCAAACCAAGGAATGCCAACATTTGACAAGTTTAGGATGAAGCAAGGAGAGAGACAGGGCTTGCCTAGCATGTGTGGGGTCCTAGATAATCCCCGAACCACTGGTGGGAGTGGAGAAGCACCTGGGACTTTACTAACAATGTCTTTGAACACTCCAGGCTCAAGCCCAGGTTCCTAGCTCCACTGCCCAATTCCTGGCCCAAGGAACTTTTCATCTAAGCTCCTTGTCTCTCCTACTTGGTACTCTTTTATCTCTCCAGATAAAGACACATGACCCCAAACAATCCCTCAGGACACTTCCAACCTAGTCACCTGCTCTGCCTTTCTGGAGAGTCAATTATTTTCAGGTTATTGTCAGGCTTCTTTCTTTTTCAAGACAGGGCTTTGCTGTGTAACAGTCCTGACTATCCTGGAACTCACTTTATAGACAAGGCTGACCTCGAACTCACTGAGATCTGCCTGTCTCTGCCTCCCAAGTACTGGGATTAAAGGTGTGTGCCACCACTGCCTGGCCAGGCGTACACACACACACACACACACACACACACTGCTTTTCCCAAGAAAGGGAGTGTCTTAACTAATTAACCAGTTACATGAAACCCAAGCCTTAAAGGGACTTCTGCAGTACTCACTGAGTGACAATAGCTCCCGCCTGCCATTCACCAGCCTCCACAACTTTCATGGTTTGCTTGGTTCTAACTATAGGTTATTTAAAAAATTCTCTCAGAAAGAAAAATGTATGAAAAACCTTGTCTTCTTCCCAGTCTCCTCTCCAAGGGTCTGATGGAGTCTTAAGGATTTCCTGAGGAAATGTTAGATTATAACTGCTTACAAGGAGGCAACAAAGTAGCACAGAACATAAACATTGCTACAGGCTTAAACAAGAACATAGTGTGGACATCCACAGGGAATTCCAGTAGGGATCCCTTTTAACAACACAACTCACACAATATTTTTTTAAAATTGTTGTTGTTTTGCTTTTTGTTTTTCAAGACAGGGTTTCTCTGTGTAACAGTCCTGGCTGTCCTAGAACTCACTTTGCAGACTAGACTGGCCTCCAATTCACAGAGATCTACCTGCCTCTGCCTCCCAAGTGCTGGGATTAAATGTATGTGCCACCACCGCCCAGCTAATATTTTTATTTCATTTATTTATTTATCTGGACATAAAGTATGTGTCACCATGCATGAGTAGAAGTCACAGGACAGCTTGCAGGAGTCAGTTTCCTCCTTCTACCAGGTGGGTTCTGGGAACTGAACTCAGGTTGTCAGACTTGGAGGCAATGGACCATATTAGCATCCCTGGTTAGCCTCTAACTCTGCATAACCAAGGAGGATAAGCTTGAAGTCCGGATTCTGCTGCTTCCACCTCTCAAGTGTCAAGGATTCTATGTGTGTAGATGGCACCAGCTTTTGTACAGTGGTGGGGAGGGAACCCAGGGCTCCATGTACACTAGGCAAGCAGTCTACAAATTGAGCCACATTGTCAACTCCATTCATATAATCTTAAAGAACAGTCTTTACTGCCTGCTGCCATTTGCATGGTTTACAGTTTTAAGGAGATGTGACGACTCAAGGCTCGGTCTTGGGGAGACATAGTAATTAAAGCATAAGAATAGGTCACAGCATTTCACATGGAAAAATGTCTCCAATGTGGTCATTATGACATGGGTTTGGATATGCCACCTCATTCCACGAGACAGAGTTGGAAGGAAATGGCTTAGTCATTGGGGAGGTGGAACTGAATCCCAGGAAAACGTAAAACACATGCTTGGGAGATCACCTTTGAGGACTCCACATGTACCTCCCACCAAATATGCTGCCTCGATGCTGGGTTACTCACCTCCACTTGAGAGAAGAGACATGACATGACTGCTTTCCAGTTAACAAGCTCCAGATCTTACACTTTCCTGAGGTTTTGGCTTTGCTGGTCATTCAGGCTAGAAAAACAAAACAAAACCCAAATACTTTAAGGGGAGCGGCTTCTAGTTGTTTATTATGATGAACCAGACTCTAAGGTGCCTCCACAATCCTCGTCCCCTGGAATGCACACCCTTGCATAATTCCCTCCTCTTGCGTGCAGCAAGGCCCTGTGACTTGCTTTAGAACAGGGAAACATCTGGAACTTCACTCCATTATGATTCTTTGACATTACGCAAGAGGCTTTGTCTCTGATCACTCTGTGAACTCTCACTTCTACCGTTCTATATTGAAATGAGGCAGAAGATGACAGCACACCTCTCTGTCACCAAGTACCAGATGAGACTCAGCAGTGGGTGATAGCTTCATTGCAGCCTCAGAGGACTGGGGCAAGCTGCAGCGGGATGCCTAGTGACATTGATCAGTTATCTGTACTGCAGCACTGAGTACTGAATACACTTGCCTCTGCCAACTTGTTCCTTGATCCTGTATTCTTGCACTGGGTTTACCTCTCTGAGAGTTTGAAACTATTGGTCTTGGTTGTTTTCAATGCCCCTGTATATTATGGCACACAGTTAAGGACACTCTTTCCCTTCAGATAGAACTGCCAGGTCACACCATCAAAGAAGAGACACATGTGGTCCACAGTGGTTTCTCCTTTTGCCCACAAATGGAGCCAGCCTGAGAGTCTTGGCAACAAATGATTCTCAAACCCTTCCTCACAAGGGAGCATGTCCTAAAACTTGGCTCCAAAATCCTATCTGATTGTGATGGTCCTATAGATTGAGACTTTGGGGAGGGGGCATGGTTGTAATAGGATGTCAGCACTAAACATATGCATACTATTTGATCTAGAAACTCCCTTTCTAGAAGCTTATTCAAGAATATAGTTAGATAAGTGTCCCAAAATGTAGAGCCAGGGTGTGTGTTAGAACACGGTGCCTAAGAACAAGAAAGCAGAAAATAAATGGATTGTATCAAAGCTCCAGGAGGTTAAATAATGTAGAACCCATCCAAACAACAGAAGCCAGGTTGCTATCTAAAACTAGGCTGTCTGTGTACTTATAAGTTTTTCTCACAGGATTGTGTATACAAAAAGTAAAAAGAAAACATACAAGAAAATATGTAGTCGAGCAGTGGTGGTATATGCCTTTAATCTCAGCATTCAGGCAGCAAAGGCAGGTGGATACCTATGAGTTCAAGGCCAGCCTGGTCTACAGAGCAAGTTCCAGGACAGCCAAGGCTACACAGAGAAACTCTGTCTTGAAAAACAAAAACAAAAAACCTTGAAGTAGTGTCATGTTCTTCCCGGCTCCTTATGAAGTGTATACGGGTGGTTTCGAGACAGGATTTCTCTGTGTAGCCCTGGCTGTTCTGGAAAAAATATGTAATGTCTCCATATCCACAGATGTGTTTACATGTGTGTCTAAAATTAAAGCACACACTGGTTAAATATCAATAAAACCGAATAGTGGTTTCGAGACAGGATTTCTCTGTGTAGCCCTGGCTGTTCTGGAAAAATATGTAATGTCTCCATATCCACATATGTGTTTATATGTGTGTCTAAAATTAAAGCACACACTGGTTAAATATCAATAAAACCGGATGTGCAACTGTTAGTATCTGAGTCACAATCCCATGTCTTACATTTTGGGCAATCATTTTTTGGCTATATCTTCTGTATTTCTAGAATGTTTGCTTGTGACTTTTGAAATTTAAAAAGTTTAGAATGTGGGCTTATTGTTGCTGTCATTTTAAATGGTGTTAGCTGCTTCTAACTATTGATCTCCAGGTAGGCGCGGTGTTGTGAATGGAACAGAGATCTGTGTGCATTTCTGCCTGACACTGAGGAAGCCATCTTGCCATATCAGCTCTGCCTCTTCCCACTTCAGACCCACCGAGAGTTTGCTACAAGAGTGGGGCTCCAGCTGACACCCCTTTTCTGCCCAAGCTCATGCCACTGACTCATATGTCGACACCATGCTAGTTTCAAAAGATGTATTTTTACCACAGCAGTGTGTTCATATCAGTCCCCAAGTGCTATACAGTGAGTCCAACCTGCATCACGCAGCCATACCTCTGTGCTGGATACTAGTTGCAGCAAGCTTTTTTGTCTGACTACCTCTGGACTTCCAGCCTGCAAATAATGACCTGGAGACTTATTATTAATTATGAAAGCTTGGCCTTAGCTTAGGCTTTTCCCCAAATAGCTCTTATAACTTAATTAACCCATATTTTTAAAATGTACATTCTGTCATGTGGCATGGCTACCTCTTCTTAGTACGGCACAACCAACTGACTCCGAATCTGCTGGCAAAAAATCTTGAGCCTAGATTCCTCCCAGTTTCCTTCTCTGCCTGGAAGTCCCACCTAAACTCTTCCTGCCTAATTATTGGCCATACAGCTTTTTATCCATCAATCGCAGCAATGGATCTTCTCACAGTGTACAAATAACCTGCAACAACTAGTGACACATAACTTTTTTGTTTAGGTAGTCAAGGAGTAGAAGGCTGGGAAAATACAACCATGTATCCTACATAAATCACAATTGTCACCTATTTTTTGAAAAAAAATGAGAAAATAGCATCTGCTATGCATTTTAACTATTCATTTAGAAAATAAAA